CCTCAGAAGTCTGCATGACGAATGTGTTAGTTATACACCTGAGGAAAAGCTCAGGCTTTGAATGAAAGTTGTCGATAAGACATGTAAGATGACAAACTTTAGATTCTCGAAAACTTTACTGTAAAAAACACCTAAACATATAAATCCTTCTGGTCAGTGAACAGAGTTATAGCGACGCGATATTGATGTTACTTTTATTTTGCACATTTTGTTGGCGGTGTACGTTCAAAACAAGAAAGAGAAATGGCTCATTTACCTCTCAAAATTAAACGTGCTATGTACGGTTCAAAGCACAATTACCGTATAAACGCAAATTATGCATATTCTCCTAAAAGGCAAAAACTGGACGGATCTACGTCTTTAACTGTGATATTCATGAAGTGACCACAACATCGAACGGATGCAGCAACAGTAGGCGGCACACTGAGTCCAGTAGTTAACCATTGAACATAACATGGTGGCGCCATGTACGCTGCTTGAAGCTCCATGATAGCAGATGTGCTTGCTGCTATTCCACCAATAAGGCCAAACACTGTAATCAGACATATCTATGAGCTAAAAGAGAAGGAATAGAATACATAATGAAACATGCTGTTTAACGAACTAAGAACTAGACAGGTAGTGCCACTTTCGCTCCCAATGATGCACCCTTAATAACACCTAACTTGTATGTGATAAGTTCATTGTAAAGGAATTTGAACGTAGACCGAGAAGGACAACAGACAAAAAACTGGTCAAAAAACTATGGGAAATGGCAAGTCAAGCGTATTAGCATGGTGTATTCTAATCATACTAGTTCCATTGTAATGGAGATGTCTCATAACCATTGTAATGGAGATGTCTCATTCGACTTGAGATTTTGATTAATACTTCATGAAGTATCTCGTTCAATTGCTTTCTGACGATATCAAGGACTTTTTTATGCCGATTATCACATTTTCACTGATATATGGACATGCGATATTGATTGATGCTACGCGTGAAGCTTACCGAAAGAGGTGAGATTGAAAAATAGCACTGGCTTGGATGTGTACCGCAAGATGCTGGAAATATAATGATTTTCCCACACTCATCATATGCAATCACGTGCAACTCACTCACGTATTCCAGCAACTTGATTATCAGGAGAGTCAGGAGAGATTTGCAACTTGCTTATAAGTTCCTTTCGCTTTTTTTCCGATGCAAATAAAAACAAGTAGAAAACACTTGGCAGTAACATTGTCATTAGAGTGATCGTAGAGCCCCCAACCTACAAGTAAAAGACGAAATTTTCCAAAAAGATCTAAAGCGACAATCTCTGGAAAACCTGAAGGGTACCCCAAAATGATCAACTTTTCGCAAAGTATGCGCTTTCAACATTAGCCTTCCTGCTGTTACTGTAACTAAACTATGTTGAAGATTATATGTCTTGCTTATCGATTAAAAATTTTCAAACACATGCTTAGCGTTTTCCATCTTAACTCTTCTCACATAGGAAAAAATACTGAGTTCTCCAAGAAAGGGCTCACAAAGAGGAAATCGTAACACTCAAATGCATCAAACGCATACCAAATCAAGGAATATACCAAAATGTGGTATCGTTTCTGCGGTAAAAATGCAGCCCAACAATAACAATGATCGAATGGCAAAACGGCGCATACCGAAGTCTAAAAGCGATTTATAATACACAATTTTATATTGTATAAATTCATGCTTGCACATTCATGTAGAAGAGAAGTTATTTTTGTAGTTAATTGGTATGTTGGCAAAATAATGCAAGATAGCTTACGACGTGAGGGGACTCCAGTCCATTCTTCCACTTGTTGAGCTAGCGGACAGAATACAATAACGATGGTGGGTAATACGTGAACAGTGATCATCAAGTTGACGAGTTGTGAAAGCCATGTAATCTGAACTAGCGATGCATGGATACAACGTTAAAACTTGCTTCAGATAGAGTAGAAATCACCTGTAGCGACGGTATAACTGTATTTCTCATGCTATCTCCATATACTGAATAGCCCGCGATTGAAACGGAGAGATAGACTATCAGAATATCTAAAAATTCCCTTCTGTCTGTTTTTTTCTTTTTCTGTATTCTGTATCTTGTGTATAGCTACGAAAAGTTGAAAAGTTCTCATGCTTGTTCTTGTTTTCTTGGTTTGATTACGATTGTTATAAGTAAGAATAAGAGATAGATTGTTCTACTTTTCTGTTTCTATACTTTGTGTAAGACAGTAAAACGTCGTTCTCATACATATGTAGCTCGCCCATACTGAACGGTTAAATCGAAATGGTTTGGTCATGTCATGCTGGATGGTCGGAAATGCCCCATGACCGCCTGAAAATATAGATGTAGTCAATTCGTAATCGATGGACTTCTGGCACAAAAATTACCGTATGCAAAAGCAATAGCGCCATAGGCAAGAAAAAAATTTCTGAAGGAAAAGTCTGGATAGGCTACAACCTGAAAACTCAAAATATATACTAGCAATTGAAGAGTTTGTTGTAACAATAAAAGCAAAAAAAACACGTTCAACTCAGTCTTGAATGACTGCCAAACTAAGTTCCATT